AACAATAACAAATAAAATAAATTTTAAATGAATCAAATGAAATAAAAGAAAAAAAAAACCTAAAAAGGATGACTTGACTCAATTTTGGAGATACGACTCAACTGTAGAAAAACAAATTGGCTAAAGGGGCTTGAAATCATGGCTTGGCTCTACTTGGGCGCTAGCTTTAGAGAACTAGCTCAAGAGTCGGGTCATGACTAGATCGAATTAGGCAAATGGGGTGACGTACGGATCTGACTTTTTTAATTCCAAAATATTGCCATTTTGTAACAATATAAAAGCTAAAAAAACTGTAATTTTTCTCAAATTGCCTCCATTTCTTCTTTCTCTATCTTGAATTCCCTTTTCCTTCTCTTTAGAAAATCCAACCAAGAAATTCAAAGAAAACCTAACTTCGCCCAAAAAATATAGAATCAAGTGTTGAAAAATTCAACTCGATTGTTAAAAAATTCAATCTTTTCCAAAAAAGTTCATCAATCCAAATTCTAATCATCATGGATTCCACCAAAAAATTCAAAGCCTCATTGCAAAATTCAAACAAAAACCCAAAAAAAAAAAACCTAAAAAATCCATATAGTCAACAAAAACTCGAAAAAGAATCTAGAAATCCAATAACAAATCTACAACCCAAAAATCAAATATAACATTAATCCTTAAAACTTCCAAACTTAGAAATAAAACCATCAAACCCAGAAATCAAACAAAATTCCAGAAATTTAAATTTCCCCAAATCCTAAAATAAAACCTAAAATCTTCAAAGATTTTAAAGATCAAAACCCAATTAAAAAAATCCCAGAATCAAAAAATTTTAAATAAATCCCAACAATCCAGAAGAGCAAAAACCCTCCAATAGAATTTCCAAAGACCAAAAGCCAAACCCAAAAAATTTTTCTATGCTCAAATTGCTATAATTGCTTTTGCTTTCTTCCTGATTCCCCCTTGTGATTGCCTCTTGAGTGTTCTTTTTATAGGGATTTAATCCCTTACAATTTGGTGAAAAAATCAATTCAACTGGATCTATAATTTCATTGTGATTTGGTTTTCTATGTGATCTTTCCTTTTTTGCATGAATTGGTTCCCAAAAAATTTTCAAAATCATCAAATCATTAAGTTTAAACCTATTATTGACTCTAGGACTAAATCAAATCCAAGATCTTTCTCGTAAAATCCCATGTTTCCTATTTTTAGTTTTTTTATTTTTTTTTACTTTATTGACTTTAACTCATTAAATTAAAAAAATCAAAATTAGAATTTAAAAAAATCAGAATTGAAATTAAAACGAAAAATTAAAATTTAAAATTTAAAGCTTTTCAATCTTTGGGCCTCAATTTCATTAACTAATAACCAATTACAATTTTACATGAAATTTAAAACTCATTTTAATATCGAAAATTTTCGAATAAAATGAGATGTTTACCTAAGATAAATGCAACTCTTACCTTATACTTCAAATGATGTTTTTTTATCTTGATGTGTAAGTTTATTTTTATCTTGTTATTGAAATATTATTAATTAGCACCGCTATACCTTATGATAATAGTTTGAAACTTGGAGATGTTAAATATCGGATGAAAGATGTTCGCAAAAGACTGAAAATCATGAGAGGTTTTAAGTTTAATTTACCCCTCATATTAAGTATGTCTACTTGTAAGCTCATTTAAATACCTCCAGTCAACCTCTAAATGAGCAAAACTATCTTGTTCTGCCTAATTAAGACAACTCAATTTCATTTATATTCCATTTAAATAGCTTTCTACTGAATATTTTGATTACTAATATCAAGATTAGGTTAAGTTACTACTGTTGCACATTATCACCTTACTAATTTCTTAAAATTTCGAATCTATGACAGACTAAATGATTTATTTATCTACCTTTCTTAAGAAGTGGATCCTCACAAAATTAAAAATTGATTTTCAACATTTATAAATTTTCTTTTCTAATCTCCTAAGTTACAATCTTTCTTATAAAAAATATTTCGAACCAAATTATAATTTAAAATGCAGATGCCTCTTATTCATATTCAAAGAAGGTCTGGTGAACTGATTGACACTTAAGAACCTTTAATTTGCCACATCCACTGCTAAATGATCTTGTTTTTGACAAATGTTCATATATTTAATGCTTTTCAAAACATCTCATGCAATTTTCTATTCTTGAATCTTTTCAAGCTTCTGTTCACAAAGACAAATGGGGACAACAAAATCTATGCAGTACAGCATTCGGCGGATCTTGTTTACAAAGAAGTACTTACATAGCTAAGGTAAGCCACACAGCGGATTGGGAAACTTTTGTTTAAGAAAAAAAAATGGAATGTTAGCCAAGAGGGTAGGTGCATTTGTTCAAGTGAATTTGCACAAAAAGCAATGACCTGTTGCCTATGGCCAGGGACAGCCACATCAAAGTTATCTAGATTATCACACTGTTGATTCGTAGGGAAAAGTTGAAGAGATGATAGGAACCCAAGAGGTTAAAAGTGGTCACGATCTCTCTGGTTTGGTTGTTATAGATTCTATTCTTTTCTCTTATCTTGTTTAGAGAGTGTGTTTTGTCTATCTTTTCCTGCGTAATTTTTTTCTATCTTTAATTTACCCAAAAAAAGAAGAGAGAGAGAGAGAGAGAGAGAAAAAGCTTCTTTTTTTCTTGGGTTTGTACTAAAAAATGATTAAAAAAAGAAGGAAAGAAAAGAACCGAAACAGATTGGCTGTCACTTTCTATTGTAAGAAGGCATCCTTATTCTAGTTGAGAAAAAATCAGAATCATCAGATTCCTGAGCTGAAAAGTGGAAAACTTCAAATTAATGGGTGGGCCCCTTACCAGACATCTAAATCTAGATCAGTACAACATGATTTAGCTGATCATCATCCCACTTTCAGTAACTTCATGCTCCAAATGAAAACATGGTTTATATTCCCTCTTGGTGAAGAGCAACGCACTAAGCTGAGAAATAGATGTGTGGAACTTAATTATATCACGATGTTTACGCATATCATCTATAGATCTTGAAACATGTAAGAGTATTGTTAGAAAGAATATTTTGAGATTTTCACACATATAATTCGGTTGCCTTAATTATATTTATATTCAATAAGGTTTGTTTTGTAATTTTTTCATCATAAAAATTTAAATAAGAGGTAATTCTCATGTTAAGAGTGAATTATTATAAATTTTATGTGTATTTTGTATTTATTTTTTAGTTATTTTTTATTGTTGTTTTTAGATTAAATTTGGGATTTTAATCTTAATAGTATGCTGCTAAAATTGTTGGCGTGTGGCCTAGTTTCAAAATTTTGGACGTAATTGACACTTAACACAAGCTGACATTGAAAATTCAATCACTCAGAGATCAATTTATTCACGTTAAATCCACACTTTGAAATTTATCCAATCAAATGGGGATCTTGACATGAAAAAAAGAAAGAAAAAAATTGCACATTAGCATTCATTAGTTCTTATTTTAATGTTTGTTAAACTATTCCAGATTTGTGGATTAAGATGGATCTTCATGTATCATTTTGTCCCCTAATATATCAAGAATGTTCAAAGAAATTATTTCCACCCAAGATATATAGAAAAGATTTGTTGCTTTAGCAAACTTTTCTATTCTTCGTTTATATATTTGTTTATATATATATATATATTGATTTATACATATATATATATATAAGAGGTCATAATTTGAGAATAAGATAAAGGTTACAAATAATTATATTTGAATCTCAAACTTATTAAATGTCATTTTTTTAAAAAAATTACATGAACTATCTAAATTAAGTTTAGAGTTTTTATATGTCTTTTAGAAGCCAAGTAAGCACAATATATCTATTAAGATTTTCTTAAGGACTTTTTCATGTTTCTATTAGTGAAATACCCAAAAAAAGGTAACTTAAAAAATAGCCAAAAAAAAATGTTTTTATTAGTGGTTCACAATCACATGATTGGTTTGTTAAGAAAATCTTTTGTGTTCATATTTGACAAAAGGGATTTCAATTTGCTTTGGTAGGAAGGAAGAAAAAAAAGGAGAATGATGAAAATTTTGTTAATTTAATAGTTAAGTTATAAATTACAAAGTAAAAAATTTATTATAAATTTTAATCATCATATTAACAATTTTTTTTTTTTATCTCTTTCACTCTTTCTTACCAATCAAAGCCTAAAAGGTTAAAAGTTGAGGGATGTTTTGGCCCATGATTTAACCTTTTGAAAGACATGTTCGACTGCTGATTCTGACAGATTATATTGCTCACAAGTTAAAGAAGATAAATGTGTAAATAAAGGAACATAATTTGCTTTCCTGAAAATGTTAGAAGTCGGGTTACACTGAATGATGATTATTTGTGGAAAGTTCCAAGATTTGATTCCTTATTGTTGATCATTCTAAAAAATGCAGATTTGGGCAAATTTTAAGGCTGATTTCTCTATGGATGATGCTAATGAGTTGTGAACTGGGGCTTGTTTGACTGTAGAATCTAGAATCCTCCCAACTCTCAGCCATAGATGAGGTTACTGATAGATTGGTCCAGAGTACATTATTTTATGAGAAAAAACTTGGTTTTGGGCTCTGATATTGTAAGAGATTTGCATAAAATCTTCTAACATGCCAAATGGTTTTCCCATTTGAATGAATTCTGAAGAGGATAAGGAATGAGAAAATAGTTTGATTTTATAGAATTTAAGTTACATTTGGTTCAGTCATCATCAGCTGATCACAAATTCTTCATATTTGAAGAATTCCCCGTTCCACATCGAGTCTCTACTGGCATTTGATTTACTGGTCATACTACATGCATAAGAGTTATTCTGGATGAAAAGAAAACTAGTACCTGTAAAAGTGTAATTAAGTTCCTTTCACATGTTCTGAGGAAAGGCAATGGTGTCCAACCAAGAAAAGAAAAAGACTTTATACAATTCTAATAAGTAGAATCTCATGCCATATTGCTATAGATACAACAAAGAGGGAAATGTTTAACACAATCAGTCTGTAAAGGTATTTACTGCTCTCAGCCACTCCTCTCTTGTTGTAGGATCTGGCTAAACTTCTCCCATAAACTGGTTCTGGTTTCTAAGTGGATCTTTGGCTGCTTTGAAGTCTCAACTACATCCTGAGACTTGACAGACACAGTGACAGGCCCCTCTTGTAACTTCTGCTGTTCTTCGAACTCGTGGATAGCATCTTGAGTGCATTGGCGACTGCTCTCTTGTTCTGAGCTCACGCTAGTCTTCTCCCAAAGACTGATTCTGTCTTCTAAGTGGATCTTTGGCTGCTTTGCAGTCTCAACTACATCCTGAGACTTGACAGACACAGTAACTGGCCCCTTTAGCAATCTATTGTGCTCAGCGAACTGGTGGATAGCCTCTTGAATTCCTGAGAAGGCCACCAGGAACTCTGCTGCATCAGTTTGGTTCAGCACCTTCTTCACCACCAGCTCTAATGCCTTGAACCTTTTGTAAAAGTTTTCAAATAGCAGTCAATTACACAAACATTTCTGGAATTATATATAATTGATACAATTTCATTTAACCTGCTTTGATGCATAGCTTGTGGGACAAGACGAGCAGCTAAACCAGAAACACATACAAGGAAAAGAACAAACAAGAATACAAGGAAGACTGAATAGAAAGGGGATGAACCTTAGCTTTTGAGCCTTAGTGATGACCCGAGCAATCTTCTTGAACTCAGATTGAATAGCATGCAAGGCAGAACCACCTGACTTACTGCTCCTCACTGGGGCAAAGGGAAGGTAGAGAACACATGTTGCTTGAATCTCAGCCATTTCCTCATCAATTACTGCCTCCTCAATACGTATCTCATGGATAAGCTGAGATAGGACCTGTTCCATAGCTGTTAAGTCTCTTAAGAAAGATGAAGGAGCCAGGCCATGCAAGAGTTCCAGAATGGCGGAGGGTCTCCAGTCACCAAACCAGGAGAGTGTGGTCAGCTCTTGGGGAGCTGCCCATTGTGGCATAAGGAGTTTAGACACATCCTCGAGATGACTTGGGACCATGGCCTGATTGTAATGCGCATGGAACCTGTTCAGTTGTTCCTCAATTAGTGCCTCAAGTTGCCTTCGTGATTTCAGCTGTTTCTCTAGCTTAGCTGCTCGGCTTTTCCGCTCTTGCCTCCAAAGACCATGCTTTGCCCCGAAGAGCTCTTCATGAAATAGCCATATCAACTGTGAGAGCTTTCAGACAAAATGCATTTTCCACAGAATTAAGACATGTCATATTGACAAGAAAAAGACAGAAACGGATGGAAATTCTGAGTCCTGCTTTACCCTTTCACATGAACGTTATATTTTCCCAGGAATAAACCAATATAAACTGAGAAAATTCATCGTCGTTTACCTCTTTTACTTGTTTCACGCTTGATAATGTTTATGCACTGAAATCCATCACTTATCTCATCAATTTCGTTATCAACTTCGTTTTCCTTGAGTTTCTTTCCTATTTCTTTTTGTTCTCCACCATCATTCTCCTCAGAGGATTCCCTGAAAAAATCAATCAACTCCCCTTCCGGTTATCTTGAAAATGGATAACTTTTCCTTCTCTACAAAATTAATCCAAGTTCAATGCATCAAACATGTTTCTATCAAGAAAAGAAACTGAAACCATAACACCTTAATACAACAGATTTGACAGCTCATTTCCTTTTCCATTTTTCTTTTTCTTGACTTGAAAGCTGGAGATGCTTCATATTGATTTTCCTTCCAAAAGAAGAACAGAAAAGAAAATTTGGTTTCTTTCAACTTCTTGGAAAATGGGATAGTTTCAGTCTTGGTTAGAAGCCCACATTTTTGCTCTATTAGTTCCAAGTTATGCATGATAAATAAGATATAACGTTGAAAGAAAGAAGAAAAGAAAACAAAGAAGAAGAATGTGATCCGTAGAATAAGCTTACAACAGAAATTTAGACGCTGTTCCCTGCATGTCCTTCGTCTTTCTTCACAGCTTCTTCAATGGTGAATGGTGAAGGAAATTGAAAACTCGTTAAAAAGAAAAGGGAATCTTTAGCCCGTTTTGTTGGTTGTTAGTTATTTGGTCCAATATATCTAAATGATATTTGGAATTATAATTTATTCCAAAAAATAGATTTGGAACAATTTGTAATCATATTATAAAAGAATGAGATCAGAGAAAATTCAATCATTAATTTAGATAAAATTATATTCAGATTTTAGATTTAAATCCTACTACTTAAGACTACTTGTTAAAAAAAAAAATTCAATCTTTAATTTAGATATAAAGATTAAAAAGTTAAAGTACTTAGATCATATTTACAGTATAATATTATTATCTTATATCATATTTGATTTGTATCTTAAAAAAAGCTAAAAATTATAAGAAAAATTAATATTCTCGACATAGGATTATTCAATCCTCTCCAAGTAAAAAAAATTATTTTTAATTCATAAGATTAAACTTATATGTCTAATTATATTATTAAAAATTATATAAATAATTTAAATTATATAAATTTTGAAAAAAAATAATTTTAAAAAATAAATAAATTATTTTATCCTAATATTTGCATATATCAAATACAAAATAAGATGATATTATTTACTAAAATTTTATTTATAATATTATTTTATCTTATCTTATTATAATTTTGTATACTAAACATGTTGTTAATTTCTTAAATAACAAAATGTATTTTATCAATACCATAAGCAATTATGTGATTGAAATTTGGCAAATTGTGATTGGTTATAGTATTTGGGTTAGAAATTAGGTTTGATTTGATGGGAAAGAAAATTTTTTAAGGTGAAGTTGGTTAAATTTTTTAATAAAAATGATTTAGAAAATTAAAATTAATAGATTGATAGTTTTTATACATAAATCAAATGTATAAATTTAGAAATATTTTTTAATTAGTTATTTTTAATAAAAATTTTAATAAAATTTTTTTCATTGAATAGATATTGATAAATTTAAATTATAAATAGTATTTTAATTTTTTATAGTACCAATAAATTTAAATTATAAATAATATTTTAATATTATATATAATTAATTTTTTTGTTGAACTCTATTAATTTATAAATGTTTATTTTTATTAAAATTTTAATGGAATTATTTTTATTAAAAAACTTCAAAATTTTTACTAAAAAAATTTTACCTAAAATATTTCATGTAAATTTTGCCTTATTTGCTAGCTTTCAACCACCACCAATGGGTTATAAATTAGACAATTTCTAAGGGTGCATTTGTATTCAACTGAACTGATTGCGATTGTAATGGGAAAATGAGTCAAAAATCTCTAAAAATCACTGAACATCCATTTGGCTGGCATCATCGCAGGATGTTTACCTTCGTTTTTTCAACGTTAATTTTTACTCCCGTGGGAGAATGGCCTCAACTAATTTTTCTTTTATTTTTTTTGTTTGTTTTCCTATTTTACCCTTCAGGTTGTATTGCAAAGATAATAATATCTCTATAATTTAATTTTCTTTTTTATTTTTTATTTTAAGAATGTAAAATAATTTTGTTAATTAATATACAAAATAAATTTTATTATTATATAATAATAAATTAATAAATAAATATAATTTATTATTATATTATGAATTAATAAATAAATAAATTTTATTATTATATAATAAACTAATAAATAAAATTAATTATTATATAATTAATGAGTTAACATATAATTTTTATTCTAATATTCTTAATAGTAATTTTATCTTTTCATTACAATTTATCTCATTGTTACTATTATTTTTAAATCAAAATATATATCTTATCATTAATTTTAATCTCACAGCTATAATAATTAATCTCATCTCTACTATTATTTTCAATCTCATCAAATTCAATCTCATTGTCCATTTAAATGGATCCTAAATCAACTATATCTCTTACATTGCTTCTGATCTATTTATAAGACCAACCAAAAGCACAAATCGATCATGCAAAAGGATAAATGAACCAGAAAAAGTTAAACCAGAATGGCAATGGATAATGCTCATATAAAAAGAAACAAATTTTAACCTAATTTCAAAGATTTTCTAAACATATATTTACACCTTTATTTACTAGTTACTAACAACTTCATTTTTGCTTTGCTTGATCAACATTAGTTACAAACAGCATCTGAGCTCCAACTATAATCTTAGAAACGTTTGAAAAGTTATTTCCTAATTAACCTATTCTTTTCGTTGTTGTAGGTTCCAGCAAACTAGAATTTATCTCAGGGAACTAACAATAGTAACTCCATTTGTGAAGATCCTCTAGTTCCAACCTGAATTACTGCCACCATTGCCATCATGACCATTTGGTCGACCTTTTTTCAGTCTCGTACTTACATTGCATCCAATAGATATAGTGAGCTTCATGGCTGTAAATAAACCAAAGGCCATTTCTAGTGGCCTTACAGCCCAATAAAAATCCTCAATGTGTTGATATTTCTCCACTACACCAGGACATGTATCAAAGGACACTGATTCCACTACGGCAGGGTCTACTAAAAAGTTGTTGGGTTCATTTCCAAGAACAAATCTACCTGGAAACACTACAACAGGACACCCATTTGGAAACATTTCTAAAATTCTCCTACTAGCCCATTATTTGAGCTGAGTTGAGATGGAAAGGTGAACTCTAAAATCATAAGAGATGGAAAGAAAGTGGTTAAGAGTAAAAGCTACAGGTGTCCCTAATGTTTATGTTTTGATACTCAAGTTAAAAATTGGTTAGAAAGAAAAGTAAGAAAAATAATAAAGAAAGTAGAAAAATGTCAGATGTCTAAATGGTACTTGGATGACCTTATTTATAGCTAAAAGATGAAGGGTTTCTAGCAATTTAGGTTGCTCGAGGTTGGCCCTATGATTAGGGATGACCTGAAGTACTGAGTTCACTTGGACTTAACAGTCCACTCAAAGATATCAAGTCAATGTTGAAGGGGGCTCGTTGGGTAGATTGTTGAAGTGGTCTAACTGACGTGGTACTGTCATAATGTATAGATCCGTGGACCTACCGTTAGATTTGAAATGAAAAGGAGTTACCATCAATCTTTTTTAGTTAAGTGTGATTGGTCACTTGATTGAAGCTAATCTGTAAAATAGAGGTTAGGTTCAGAAGTTGGTTGCGTATAGGAAAGGTAGTAGCACCCCAACAACGCCTATCACAAAGATAATACCAGTTTGATTTTAATTATCCAAGCCTTAATCATTTTTATGACTTACCAAATTATTTAACATTTTATTACATAAAAAAAATAGCAAAACCTCAAAATTTTTCTCTTATATTTTTTATATTATTATTTTGACAACATTATTTACAAAGGTTTTTTTATGTTTTTCTCTCTCTCTTTAAAAAAAAAAAGATATTTTTTCTTCTCCTTTTTTTAGGAATACCAGTGGCAAAAATATATTTTACTTTTTAAAAAAAATAGAAAATAACAAAAATGGGTTAAAAATAAAATAAAATCAAAAATAAAATAAAATAGAAAAGGGAAAACCTGTGATCAAGTCGAGTCAGAGTGCGGGTTAACTCGCGGGGCGTCGAATCTACACGTGGATCCTAGCTTACCCAAAACTGTATCGTTTTGAAGTAGTATAAAAGGCACCCTTATGTGTTTTTCATTAAAAATCCCAGAGCCTTTCTCTCTCTAGCCTAAAATCCTTTATGTTCTCTCTAAAAATTTCCACCAAAAACTTCAACCAGGATCGAAAAATCCATCGATTTCTAGAAAAGTTACCTAAAAATTCAAGCAAAACTAGAAAACCATCGGTTTCTGGGAAGTTGATCGAAATGTGATCGAAAAATTCATACTTTACGAAAAAATTCAACCAAACCTAAAAAAATCCAAAAAAATTCTAAAAAATTCTAAAAAATCCAAAAAAATCCCAAATGGTTCTAAGCTTCCCTGAACCTCCTACAACCCTAAATTCACCTCCAGAATCCTAAATTCACTCTTAAAATCACAAATCAACTCCAAAATTCCAAACTTAACCTTCGAAAATACTGTTTGCCCAAAATCTCCCAAAATTTTCCCAATAGTATTTCTCTATGTTTTTGTGTTTTTTTTTTCATTTTCTTGTCCTATAGAATTGGTTCAATTTATAGGCAACCTAGGATCAATTCAAGAAACGAACAAAATCAATCCCAGGCTTGAATCTTGGGATTGTATTCTGTCCAACGTGATTTTCGATCCAAAATTCCAATGATTTGATCCTGTGTTTGACCCAAGGATTTTGATCCCGATTCTATTATGCACGTGTGAATTGAAACAGTAAAAGAATGTAGCAAAAAGGAAAAGAACATAAAAAGAGAATAAAAAAATAAAAAAATAATAATAATAATAGTAATAATAATAAAAATAATAATGATAATAATAAATAAGTTAACACTTAGGCCTGGACCGAAATGGGCCCAACTGGCTCGAACATTGATGGACCCAATTGGGCTCAGACTTCAATGGGCTCGACCGAGCCTGGACCTCAATAGGCCTAATTAAGCTCGGACCTCAATAGACTCGGACACAAATGGATGTCTACAGCTGCCTTTCTTTGCATATCTTTTTTAGATAAAAATAATGCAAAGATCTAGGCACTCACTTTATTCGAGTTAAGATAGAGAGTAAAATTGACTAGGATGAACCTCAAGTCGAAAGTAAAATGATCTAACCTGAATAGATGTTGAATAACTAGGACGACATCACGAGTTAGAATACGATTTGATTGGAGCCGAGATCAAATAAGTGACTGGGACGATGTCACGAGCCTGAAGGTGACCAAGACTGAGTCGAGATCGTAAATAAATTATTGAACTGATGTCGCGAGTCTGACAAGGATCTGACATGAGTCAATATCAAATGACTGGGATAATGTCACAAGTCAAAAGATGACCAAGATTGAGTCGAGGTTGAAAATGACTAGATTGATGTCGCGGGTCTAAAAATGATCTTACATAAGTCGAGATCAAATGACTAGGATGATGCCACAAGTCGAAAAGTTACCAAGATCAAGTCAAAGTCAAAAATAAATTATCGGACTGATGTCATGGGTCTAAATATGATCTTACATGAGTCGAGATCAAATGATTGGGACGATGTTGCAAGTTGAAAGATGACCAAGATCGAGTCAAGATCAAAAATAAATGATCGAACTAATGTCGCGGGTTTGAAGATGATCTAACATGAGTCAAGATCAAATGACTGGATGATACCGTAAGTCAAAAAGCAACCAAGACTAAGTCGATGTCAAAAATGAATGACTGGGATGATGCCGCGGGTTCAAAAAAGTGAATTTTGCTCTAAATCCAATGATTCACAAATTGGACATTAAAAAAATTATAAGGTTCTGAAAGTTGAAAAATACCAACATCTCAATTTTAACAAAATTGCAAAGATTCAATCTTTACAAAAGTTTTCAGATTTGCAAGAATGAAATATTCGTAAGATTTCAAACTTCACAGAGGTTCTAGATTCACAAAGGTTCCAAGTTCACAAGAACTTTCAGATTTGTAAGAAAGAAAGATTTGTAAGATTCCAAGTTTTGTAAAGATTTTAGATTCGCAAAGATACAAGGTTCGCAAAGACTTTCAGATTCATAAGAAAAGAAGATTCACAAGATTCCTAGTTTCGCAAAGGTGCAAGGTTTGCAATGACTTTCAGATTCGTAAGAAAAAAATATTCTCAAGATTCTAAGTTTTGTAAAAATACAAGGTTCGCAAAGACTTTCAGGTTTGCAAGAAAGAAAGATTCTCAAGATTTCAAGTTTTGCAAAGGTGCAAGGTTCGCAAGGACTTTCAGATTCACAAAAAAGAAAGATTTGCAAGATGCCAAGTTTTGCAAAAAATGTAAGGTTCGCAAGGATTTTCATCATAAGATTTTAAGTTTCGTAAAGGTGCAAGGTTCATAAGGACTCTTAGATTTGCAAGAAAGAAAGATTCACAAGATTTCAAGTTTTTCAAAGGTTCTGGATTCACAAAAATGCAAGGGTCATAAAGATTTTCAGATTCGTAAGATGCAAGATTCACAAAGACACAAGATTCGCAAAGGTGTAAGGTTTACAAGGACTTTCATATTCATAAGACAAAGAGATTCACAAGATTCCATGCTTCACAGAGGTTTCAAAAAATGATCTAGACCAAGCCGAGATCAAAATAAGTAATTAAGATTAAATCGCGAGTCTAAAATAAAATGACCAAGATCGGATGAGTGATAATAGAGTAATGCAAGTGCATGCCTTATCTAGGATGCGGATGTAAACACAATGTATATAGTGCAGATGTCATGAGATTTCATTATGGTGATAAGGTTCTCAAGACTCCACTAGTCCTTCTTAGCTTCTCAGCATCTTAAATCCAATTTTGTCAATCGATCAATGTCATTCTTCTCTTTTGGTCATAACTTATAGATTACGTCAATCAATCTATTACTAAATTCATCACTGAGTCATTTGTTTGCCCCATTGTAAATCATTTTCTCATGCTTATTTCATTCATCCCATCTTATATTTCTTTCAAAAATGGAAAATTTTTTATGAAAAATGTCATTCATTTATTTGCTATCATTTAAATCAATGACAGACATGATACATTTCTTTAGTTCATTCAAGGAATGTTTATTTATTAAAGGAGAAGAAGAATGGGTTTTTATTGTTAAAAGAATAAAAGGTAGAGTCGAGAATAACTCAAGGGTGAAAAAAGGTAAAATACCAAGATTTATTCAAACAGGACATTAACATCCAAAATAATGATTGCTCAGAAAATTTTGAACTCAAACTCAAGATCATCCTTCAAAAACACATTCCATTAATATATTCAATCTTTAAGCTAATCCTCATCCTTCTTTCAAGGACCTTCACATGAAGTTTTTATTTTTACTTAAACGACCTTTCGAGTTTTTAGTTTAAGTTTCTTTTTTTTCTTTTTTTTGTTTATTTATTATTTTTTTCTTTTTTTTTGCTTTTTGTTTTTTTTTTTTTGTACACCTTTTTCTTATTTTTTTTTCTCTTTTTTCTCTTTTGTTGACACTTTGATCAAAGCTTTACACAATTCATGGGTAAATTTGCCCCAATTCAATTCATGATTCTTTAAATCAAGTATTCACATTTGATCAAAATAGACTTTTAAGAGACATAATGTAGGCTAGGGTAAAAGGTGTCAAAGAAAAGGATAAAACATGCCCAAATTGTATTTGAAAGGTAATCAAAGCAATGATCATTTTTTCATATAGAGCACATTGGTATTTTACCCATCAATTTTTTTTTCTTTTATTTTTTATTTTTATTTTTTTTTGTGGAACACATTGGCATTTTGCCCCATCAATTTTTTCATTTCTTTTCTTTTTCATTTTTTCATTTGTTAGGAAAACTTAATCACAAAAGAGGTTTGCCCTTAAGGATGAAAAATTTCTCAAACTTTGCCTCCAGTGTGAGGGTGATTTGGTTGGGGTTTTTCAAAAAAAATTTCAATAGGCTCAAATAGGGTAGTAAGGGATAATTTTATTTTTCGAATGATAGAAGAAAAATAGTCATTTCTCATTTCGAACATAAATAGTCTCAATGAAGAACATTCATCAAATATGAGCGAGCTT